TGGGGGATTGAACCGCGGTCCCTGATGCTTTGCCAAGCTTGTTCCAAGTAGGTGCCTTAGACCACTGAGCCATCTCTCCAGCCCCAAATTTCCATTACTTTGTTTGGGGAAATTTTATATTGTTTCTAATGCTGTTTTTTCTATCACTATTTTGTATTCTTTAAGAAAAAAGTTATTAACAGATATCTTTAAAAATAACACATGGGGGGGCGGCCGGGCTGCTGGCTCAATGGAATAAGCACTTCCCTGGCAAGCGCAAGGACCTATAAGTTCAATCCCCGGTTCCGCCAAAAAAAAAAAAAAAAAAAAAAAAGAAAAAAAAAAAAGCTTTAAAAATAGCACGTGGGGATTGTAGAAAAAAACCCTTGATTTAGCTTATGCATTAACAGGTGATTATTTTTATCTCTATATTCTCTGTATTTTTATATATATTATCAGAAATTAGGAAAACTTAAACATTAACAGAATATTTTTGATCTGCCACAGTGAACAATAGGAGAATGTTTTCTGTATAATGCAAACCACTCATGTGCTAGCTATTCAGTACCTCCTCTTCACTCTAAGTCAGTACCTGACTCTCCTCTTCTGGTTTTTCCATGTCCTCTTTTAACTTTTTATCTATTTAGAAATGATAATTTAATTTGAGCATTAGTTTATTTAGAAATCTTATATTTGACAGAACTGTGAACATTTCTGCTACCTAGGCCAGAAATTTATTCCATGCTTACATTTTTTCCATTTTAGCAAAGTAAAATCTAAACTTCTTTTAATAAACTTAGAAAAGTAAAAGTCAAAGAAAGATGAATTTTCAATAAGTATAAAGCATAATCCATCACATGGACAAAGGTAATGGGCTTAAGATTCTGTAGATAGGTATTAATAAAGTAAAAAATGGAACAAATAGATATATACAGTTAAAGAAAGGGTTGTAACCTTCTTTAAAACAGATATTCAAAGTTGTGAGTGATCATAACATAGTAATGTTCTGTGACTTTTTAAAAACATGGCAGATACTGGATGTGGTTGCCCATGTCTGAAATCCAAGAAACAGGAAGCATATGGTAGGAGGATCATTGAGAGTTTAAGGCCAGCCTGGCTCCACTGTGAGTCCAAACCAGCTTCTACTACATGGTAAGACTCTGTCTCAAGGAAAGAAAAAAAGAAAAATTGGAGAGGAAAAGAAAAAAGGAAAAATGGGGTGAAAAGATTGTGTGGAAGGAATAGAAATAGCTTTAGATAAGAATGTTATGGTTCATTTCACAAATGCCTTTTCCATATGCACTTGACACTCTCAACCCACTCCCACCTTTGTGTCTTTGCCCAAATGAGTACCAGTGGCAAACTCATAACTTGTAAACATACAGTGCTGTATCCTTATTTCCTTGTCAAGAATCAAAGATTTAGTAAACTTTTACTAAACCTAAAATTTTTTCATGAAAACTTTTTTTGTTTGAAGAAATTCTTCAGAGCAACTTTCACATCCTTATTCTTCAGGCTGTATATCAGCGGATTCAGCATAGGTACAAGGGTAGTGTAAAACACTGATGACAGCTTCCCTTGGTCCATGGAGCTGACTGATGAGGGCTGAAGGTACATGAACGCAGCAGAACCAAAGAACACAGCCACAGCCAAGATGTGGGAGCTGCAGGTGCTGAAGGCTTTTGACCTGCCTGCAGTGGAGTTGATGCGGAGGATGCTGGCTATAATGAAGATGTAGGAGCTGAGAATGGTCAAGGCTGGAAGAAGAATATTAAATGCACTTAAGCACAGAACTACCACCTCATTGATAAAAGTACTGGAGCAGGAGAGCTTTAATAATGGGAAAAGGTCACAGAAGTAATGATTGATTATATCTGCCTTGCAAAAAAGCACTTTTAGCATGCAGACTGTGTGAGCCGTGGCACCAACCAAACCCACACTGTACACCCCACCTACCATCCACCAACAGACTTGGGCTGACATGGTAGCATGGTAAAGCAAGGGCTTACAGATGGCAACATAACGGTCATATGCCATGGCAGCCAACATGTGACACTCTGAGATAGCAAAACCTGAAAAGAAATAGAGTTGAATCATGCATTCAGGGTAGGAGATGATGTTTTTTTCTGTCACAAAGTTGACCAGCATTTTGGGTGTGATGACAGTGGAGTGGCAGAGGTCAATGAAGGACAAACTGCTGAGGAGATAGTACATGGGGGTGTGCAGATGAGAACTGAGCCCAATCAAGGTAATCATGCCAAGGTTCCCCACCACTGTGAAGATGTAGACTCCCAGGAAGAGGAAGAAGAGGGGCAGCTGGAGTTCAGGCCTCTCTGTTAACCCAGCAAGTATAAACTCAGTTACTACTGAAAGATTTCCTTTTGCCATTTCCTTTTGGAATTTCTAGGATTAAAAAGAAGAAAAGTTTTGTTATCGGTATTTTTTGTTCCAACAATGAAGTAGTAAACAGAATTATTTTCATTCTTGTATATCCAGTTTTCTTTCAGCTTTATGTCAGTGAACATCAGTTCCCAGATATATGAGACATTCAATTAAATAACGTACAGAGCTGTCTCAGTTTTGTTGCATGCTATAAATGTGGTAATTAGTAGTATTCAGTCCATCAACAGCCAAAGAAAAATTCTTATCATTTATTTTAGATTTTAATGTGCCATGTTTGATTAGTTATAACCCTTTCTGATTACAATTGTCTAAAACAAGAGGATTGATGTAAAAATTATATACAATTATGCAAATAAGATTCATTATGCTTAATGGATCAACAGCTGAAGTGTGCAAAGTTATGATTTTCCAACTGAACAGCCCAAGGATGTGGAAGGATACAAAAGCTGAAGTCCAGGAAACTCTGGAATCATCGGATTGCCCAAGTTGGAAGTGTGAAGTATTTATGCTGGAAGACTGAAGAAAGAAGACAAACGTTGAGACACAGAAAAAAAGATGGGAGCGCTTCCCCAAAGGAAATGAGCAGTTCTTTCTGTTTCCATTCTGTCAGGGCTACAAAACTTAAAATTGGCACCACT